TGAAATTATACTGTCATTCACCCTCTGTCCACTGAGCTACACCGGCTGTCCTGTAGCTCATGCTCCAATCTACTCCAGCACCCTGATAAAAACTTATGTCACCCCACGACCACTTGGGGGAGCGTCGTCGTGCGTTCCCAACACCTTGTACCAGACAATCCAGGTTATTTGAACTGCTTAGTTCCAAAAAGTTCTTGAAGATCCAGCTCTTCAGAGAGCTCCTCCCGCCCTAACACGTTCCTGTACTTCCCTCCTCCCTCTGTACTGATCTCCACCCTGGTTCAGAAGTCCCACTCTACTGAACAGCAGTGTCCTTTGAAGACAAAAGAGGAACTACAAACTCCTCTTTGTAGCTCGATTGTTAATTCTCCTCTTGTAAGTCTGACTCGGGATGAAAGCGTCTGCTAAATGCATGAAAGTGAGCGTAATGTGAATGTAAACAGACAGCCAACACTGCTGTAAATATTTCTTTCTCACACAGGTATAGATCATGTCCTTTTTTTTTTTTTTTTTTTTTTACATCAGCTCTTGTCACAACAACTTCAGATCCTCAGTTAATCTGGTCCTCGCTGACGGTTGAGGAAGTGCCACAGCGTGTTGTTCTATTTCGATGACGATTCCGTGTAACGATAGCGCTGATGCGTCGCCGCCCTTCACCGATCTTTTTTCAAAGTGTTGTTATTCAGACCAGGCCACAGCTCACAATGGAGATAAACAGACTGGCGCGGTGATATTAAGGCGGGAGACGGCAGGAAACGGACGCCGGCAGCTGGGTGGCATTCTGAGTGAGGTGTCAGAAAGTAACAGATGACAGCAGGATGTATCTCTGTACAGTACAAACCACTGGTGTAGGATGGGTTCTGTCAGTGATGTCAGTAATTGAAGCCTAATAGGACAGCTAGCTTTAGCCTTTAGCCCGAGGTGAGGCGTCGGCTGTAAACCAAAACGTCTTCTGAGTTTCCTCAGATGACCAACATGTCGTTTCAGGAACATACAGTCTGTGTGTGTTTCATGTCTCCGTGTGCCAGGGACATGAGCGTCACAGTTATCTATTCATAACCAGATGGAACAGCATTAGACATCCTGTTCTAAGGCCTGAACCATGACGGGGTTTGGACGCGCTGAGATTATCCACTAAAACCCTGGTGCTTCCTTTCACTTTGTAATTATTCTCGTTGTCGTCCGTCGTCTTTGTCTGATTTGTGCAATTATATCATTTCGAAAAATAACAAAACTATTTCTATACATTTCTTTTACATGTGTCTTCTATTTATTTCTGCCAGTGTTCTTTCTGTTAAATTAGTGGAAAAAAGGAAAGAAAGAAAATAATTTATACTAAAGCAGAACTCGTCACAGAGCTTCAATAATTAAGACTGGTTTCCATTCAAATTAAGTTGAACTTTTACTTGTTTTATTTTCATCTTTGAGGAGAAAAAATGCAATTTATCCTAGAATTTTTTGAATTACCATTGATCATCATAACAAGTCACACTGTATGAAATAAATCTTCGTTATTCTGGCCTCAACGGGCCCTGTATTCTAGCCTTAAAGACAGTTGGTTGTAAATGTCTTAAACTTTTCACCCAGTATGGAATAGTCATGAGAACAAAATGGCACATTTTTCCTTTATATGGGATTATTTCAAATTGTGCAGCGTGTGCCAGGCCTTAACAGATTTTTGCCTCCCAGCTACTTTGTGTTAGTTGCTGTACTTGCTCTTTTCTTGTCCATTTTCCTGTTAGTAAGGACGTCCTCATCAGCGTTTTGGCTCCCACTGTAGTTCCATCCTGATCTTTGTCCAGTTGTGTTTCCAATACTTTAATTTGCTCCGACGACAGAGCTTCTCGGTGCATGTCGTTTCATCTCACAGAGGCTGAGTACATGAACGCTGTCGTCAAGCTTTTCTCTGCAGCTTCATAACACAGAGCCTAGTGAGACACCGTGTTGACACGCTGCAAACACCAGATCTGCCGATGTAAACACATCTGTGACACGACATTTTTAACCTCCCACATATGTTGAGATCTACTTACTTTGTTTGAATGTGTTGTTTTTAAGCTGTTTAGTTTCATCTCAGCTCTGGTGTGAACTCTGCTGCTTCTTCTTTTTCTGATTGATAATCAGACTCATCATTATTAAAAAATAATCTAAGAAAACTTGTAGATTCATCACAGTGATAAATCATGATTAATCACACAGCTACCCACTTGTATGAATGTAATAATTCAGAGTTTGGTCTCTTAAACCAGTGTTTCCCAACGCTGGCACATATTTTTCATTAGAAAAACCCCAGAGCACACCACCGTGTCGGACAAAGTATATTTAATGAAATAGAATCATTAAATTTATCAAAGTATATTTAATGAAATAGAATCATCTTCTAGTTTTTAATTTACTCACAATTCACTAAGATCTCTGTTGCCTGTGTAGTTGAAGACGACGCTGATATACTGGCAGGAATTGAAGAAAGACGCTCACAAAGATCTTCTTCAACCACTCTGATTTTTTTTTTTTAGTTTTCATAGCTTTTTTGTGATATTTGTGACATAAAAATAATATTTTTTCAGACCAAATAAGTAAGAAATTGCGGTTGGGAATCAGTCTGTCCTAAAGTCGGTGGAGAGTGGTTTCAACTGTTTCCATTTCTATCTGAGAAGAAAGCATCTGGACAGAGTTGTTTGCTGTGCCTCAGCGCTCATCAGCTGCAGCCCAGCCCATCTGTGACATACACCACATTCGGCATGCAGGTCTAAAAATACTATAGGTGTGTATGCACCCTGCCAGTCTGTTCCTAATAAGCCTGCCTGGTGGGGCGAGAGTTTTAGGGCCAGAAGAAACAAGATCATCATCATGTCTTCTGTGCTCCACTCACTCAGGAACTTTGACATGACTAAATAACTTCCCAGTTTGCATCAGCACTTTCAAAATGTGACACGTTGTAGTTTGTGTTTCCTGACACCTGACAGTTTGGTTGGTGCTGGAAGTCGACCGCACACACACGGCAGCTCTGGAGGTTTTGTCTCCATTTAGGCTGCAGCCAATCCCAGCAGTCATGGACCGTCATCACAGAGACTACAACAATTCACACTCACATTCACACCAAACTGTCAGTGTGGCGTTACACATTTACTCTAGTCCTGCATGTTTTCCTGACATTTGACCCCTGTGCTGCTGTAAGGCCAGGGCAGTTCCCACTGGTCCACCGTGGGACCCAAACGTCAACCTAAGACTAAATTACACTTCTACATTAGTAGACATCGACAGGTTTATTTGGCCTTTGACCCCTTCCCAGTAGACCGCCCCCAGATGAAACTGAAAATGTCTCTGTTGTTGTCGTTACTCATCTGCACAGACCATTTGTCATCAGCATCAGCCTGAACAGAATGAATAAATATTCAGGTTTCATAGGAAAACTACGTCCACAGCCTTTTCATCTTCATTTAAAAAAAAAAACCAAACAACCTAAGAATTGAAGGCCGGCGTCCGTCCACTGACCCAGTCATTGACTTATTGGTTGCTGTGGGGACAGAGTAGAACTCGTTCATTTCTCTCTTTAACAGAGTTCTCTCTAATGAACTGCCGACTCATTAAAAGGTAAAATCACTGAAACGGAGTCATGAATGTGTTCCTGTTGTGGCTGTAGTAGTAGATAGTGAAGTTTGGATACATAAGTTCTAGTGAACTTCAGAATCGGGCCCAACAAACAACAATACCTGTTACCTCAGCTGTAATCCTAAATAATAAACATTAAAATGTGGGAACCTGCAGGGCGGCGACAGTTCACCATGGGTGCAGCCTGCTGTCACAGCTGTACAGTACATCACAGTACACACCGTTCAGTGCATTAGCTGCACTGCTTCAGTAGTAGACACTGCAGTCGTACACATGCATACGGACACACACACACACACACACCCCACTTCATCACAGCACAGCTAAAGGAGTTATGTGAGGATGAAAGAAGGGGAGGTGAACAGTGATCCTCTGTGGTTGACAGAAGCAGACAGAGACAGGAGCCAGCAGGGCAGCAGGTCAGGTTGTTGCTGCAGGTATGAAAGTTAAAGCAGCAGATCTCACAGCAGATGCCACAAATGTTTACACCTCCCGGCACAACACAAACTCTGGCTTTCAGCTGCCGTCTCCTCATTTTCACCTTCAGAAGATTCCACTGGGGTTTTTTTTCTCTCTCTCTCTCATTCTGAAGCTGACTCTTGCCCTCTCCTCTGTGTCACTGCCTTTGTCTGACGACCTGTCACAGTCTGACCTGTCCGTCCTCTCCGACCACCAGTCATTTGTTTCTTAATGATGGAGAGGAAAAAAAGCATGGACTCGCCCTTTATTGTTCAGGAAATACCAAAAGCATCGATCTGTGTCAACATTACTAACATTTTTATGACAACAGACAATTCTAATTTCATCAAAAATATTATTGCTGAAGAAACTATCTGACAGTGAATTAGTCCTGCAGTTAAAAAGTTTTCGATCTTCAAAAAGATAAAAATATATACAGTTGTTACCAGGTTACAAATGACCACAAACTGAAGGTTGGAGACAATTAAAGAAAGAATGGATCGTTGTCAGATTAGAACAAAGTCCCAGTAATAAAATAAAGTGGCTGTGAGACAGTGGCTGAAGAGCTGAAAAAAATGAATTGTCTTTGACAGAAAGACGGTGTTCACTGTAATGAACTTCTTCCCATCTTAGCTTATTTTTGCATTTCATTTATGAGATGAATTAAATCAAGATGGGGGCCAGGGGCCTAAACGTGGCTCATTAACATCATTATCACAGTTTTGAATGTCATTCCTGAAACTTTCATAAATGACACAGTCCAGTTACAGTAGATAAAACATCAGTGTCACAGCAACAGTGTGTCTCAGTGGCCAATGATGAGTGATTTTTGTTTGTTTGATCATAACTGAGTCACTGAGTGGAACTGAGTGGAACTGAGTGGAACTGAGTGGAAGGCTATCAAAACTAATATGTTTGTGTCTCTGCAGCTTCAGTCAGACCAGGACCATGGCAACGGTGTGGTCAGATATGTCCTGTCTGGTGAAGGAGCCGGCAGCATCTTCGTCATCGACCAGAATAACGGCGACCTGCATGCCACCCGCCGCCTGGATCGTGAGGAAAAGTCTTTTTATATACTCAGAGCCACAGTTGTGGACAAGCGCACGGGTCAAAAGCTGGAGCCGGAGACAGAGTTCACCATCAAACTTCACGACATCAATGATAATGAGCCCACGTTCAGTAAAGAGGTCTACACTGCCACCGTGCCAGAGCGCTCCGACATCGGTAAGACCCTGTCGTCTCCCAGCCACGACGTGTACCCAAACACTGACACGTTTATTTTCAGAGGAATCATGTGGATGTGTGTTCTAAACCTCAGGGACGTCCATCATCCAAGTGACCGCCACGGATGCTGATGACAGCATGTATGGCAGCAGTGCTAAACTGGTGTACAGCATCAGCCAGGGACACCCGTACTTCTCTGTGGACCCAAACACTGGTATTTATAAAACTCTCTCCTTCGTGCACTTGTATTTGTGACGCTTTACTTTTTACATCATCATCAAGCAGTAATAATTACTTGTGAAGGTGGCAGTATTTCATCAATTCAAGTATCCGGTAAATCCAAAATAAGGTCAGAGTTGATGGCCTAGCCTAGCATTAGTATTGAAGTATTGAACTTTATGTTATTAAAAATGTGGCCTAAATTTTCCAGCCCTTTGGAACTAAACAGGTTTTACCCAGACCCACACTAGTTGGTGCTACATGTTAGCAGAGCCTCGTCTGATATGATATATGTTTACTGTTATAATAACATCGTAAAATAAAAATACACTTTAATCTGAACTGTACTTTACTGCTGCACTGAACACAGAGACGCCAGCAGCTGATTGGTCAGACTCGGGGACAAAACTCTATCAGATTAGTGAACTCCAGAAGAGAACAGTGGAGCTTTTCCTTTGTTTATCCAAAGCAGATTTTCTTGTTATCCTAACAGCGTGGCCAACCAGGAACCACGGAGCTACAGAAATGACAGAAACACCAGAACAGCTGAACATCTAATGCTGAAACTCGACTGCAGCCCATCCACGGCTTTATTGCCAACTCTAAATCCTACTGTTCTCTTTCTCTGGCCACTTTTAAATCTCATTTCTCCGAAATCATTTTGGTTCTAGCAAATCCTTTTCCGACCCCGTCAGTAGAAGCAGCACCGTTTCGTTTGGTGAACGCTGAGGCTCAGGTAGTGAAAGGAGGCTGCTCATCTTTGTTCCCATTCTGATGCGTACAAAGGCGGAGGAACTAAAAGTTGTCATGAAAAGTAAATACACAGCGCACCTTCACCCTGCATTTATTTACATTTCACTGGAAGAAGATTCAGGGACAAAAAAAAACTGTGGGTTTTGTTGTCGCTCAGCTCGGTTCCCCAAAGATCTGTGTGTTTTTTTTTTCTTTTTTAGAAAATGTCAGCCTTCCATTTAGATAATCAGCACACTAATCTCTCTCTCCTCCTCTCCCTGTCTCTCTGTCTCTGCTTATCTGCTTGTTTCTAACAAACAGAGGAGTCAGGGCCGTGGTCAGATCACTGCTGTGTGTGGATTATACAGCAGCGATAAATTGTGATCTGTGATAGAAAGAGGAAAGTGAAGATGAGCAAAAAGGACTCAACGGTTCCTCTTTTTTACTGCAGTGCCAATAAGTGATTATTTTTCTGTGTCCCCTCCAGTTACATAACAGTACTCGCCAATAGTACTTATAGGTATACACTGACAATACAGGAAAACTCCAGGGTCTAAAAACTCATTCCATCAAAAGTAACGTATAATATTCTTCCCTGACACAAAGACATTATTTAAACTGAAAATAAATTCCAAAAAAAAACTATAATTGTTAATTAACATAAATGATATATTAAAGACTATGTAGATTAAGTGATAAATGAACACTTGTCTTCTTCTCTTGGGACGACACGTATTAGAGATGATCGATTACAGCATCGAGGGTTAGAAGACGTTTTCAATGTGTCTGTGACATTCCTGTTACGACTGACACAGAAAAAAAAAAGATTTGGAATAAAGACAGGAGTCAGTTCATTTCACTCTGCCAGTGTCGCCTTGATTGAAACAGTAAGAAGTGTCAGTGAGGAAGTCCTGAGATGCTCAGAATGATGCAACAGCTCAACAACGGCTGAAATGAAAGCAGAAACAAACGGTGTAAAATAATCAATGCCTTGTCCTGTTGCAGGTGTGATCCGTACAGCACTGGGTCCTGGGGACATGGACCGTGAGCAGAGAGAGCACTACCAGGTGGTGATCGAGGCCAAAGACATGGCCGGTCAGAGGGGGGGGCTCACGGGCACCACGGTGGTAAACATCAGCCTGACTGACGTCAACGACAACCCGCCCCGCTTCACCCAGAGTGAGTAAACAGTCGTGAATGAGGACAGATTGCATCCACATGATGAAACACCCAATCCCAAAAACATGCATTCATTATTGAGTTGGGAGGCCCGTGTTGTTCCTCCTGACTTTTCGATCTTTTTTTTTTTTTTTTTTTAACCCACAGCTCTGTTAAATGCAGGCAATTGAGTTTTTGTAAAAGTTTCTGTTGAGGCTGAAAATGAACCGGAGGCTGGGCAGGGAGAGGACAGATGAGCCGCAGAGAGGCTGAAATGTCACGCAGTTTATGTCCACAAATCAAGTTTCCCCTCAGGAATCAATAATACGTGTTGCATCCAAATGGCAGTGGCGGTCACACTGTACTAAAATAAATAAAGGCAGAGAAAAAGTCTCCACACGGCCCAACGAATGGATGTTTCTAGAACAACACGATGGAGATGTTGACCGTCCTTCACCTCCCTTTAATTACATACAATGACCATTCACTTACCACTAAGTGGTGCAAACATTTTCACAGTGATGGTGCACCGGGGAGCTCCTCTCCATCGTTTTTATTGATTTCAAACTTTTTCCTCTCCTGACAGAGGTTGAGTTTCAAGACATGTTTGGGTGAAATGCGTTGACATTTTTGCTATGAATGAAGCTCCTGGTCTGTAAACTGACCTGCTGGCTGAAGGTTATTATTATTATTATTATTGTTATTTTATTATATGTTTCCATGCATTTCTAGAATGAACATTAGCATAAAGAATGATCAAGGTTTGAAGTGTTGCTGGAGTTCTTGGCCTACGGCAGGGTAACAACAGGCTGATTACAGTGGGACAGACTCTGAGTCCAGAGTCAGAGAAATCTCACTTCTCTGTACCTGTGTCAACAAATACATCCTGTAAACGCTGCGCTCCCGTTGGACTTCACAAACTTATAATGGATCAGCCAATCACTCGGCTCAACTGACATGTCACCAATCAGAAATGGCCACAAACAGACAGAGCAGTGGTCGTAATGATTTCCCTTAATGACTCTGTAACTCCTGTCTGTCACAGCAGGAGCACGCTGCGCTCCCAGTCCAGTCATTTGTTCCAGAATAACGAGAGCGCTCGGCGCTGACAAATTGTTCTCCAGCATATGTCTTTTCTTCCAGGGGAGCCGGTCTGAATATGAGCAATTCTTCACAAAATGGTGAAGTTCAACCTAATTCTTTCCTTAATCACAGAAAGATACCAACTGCAAACACGAGCGCTCTGAGCCCAGTAGCCAGGACTCATCTGGGTCTCATGCTGCGGAATGTTAGCTAAAGACAGGAGCTGCACATTAATGGACTGCAGTAACTCACTGGGAGGAAAAATCAATTATTTAATCTGTAAATTATGGACAAGAATGAAGTTTCTTTAAGTCAGACCCTAAAACAAGTGACGTGTAAATGTTTTACTTCCAACAGCAGCCAGCCAAGAACTTAGTGAGAAAATCCTCCTAAGTTTAACGAGCCCGGAGAAGCCAATTTAATTTTTTTTGGTTTAACACTAGTTAAAAATGTAGTTCCAGCTGAACAGTACCACTCAGTCAGCTCCACTAATGGCTTTTAACAGCTTTAGCGTTGGTCTAAAACTGCCACAGAAATCAACTAATACGTGTTTGTTTGGGTTTTTGTTTGTCTCCCCTTTGAAAAACAGCTCTTTGCATTCATTCCCAGTCAAACGGCTGAAGTTAGTCAGGTTAATATGCTGATTTCCTCTGTTTTTCTGCTTTATTTTGGCAGACTAGACGCTGAGTCGGTGCATTTCTTTTTTTTTTCACCCAGTGTTTTGACATGCACCAGTGAAGCTGCGCTCTGAAATCACTCAGTCACTGCTGAGTTAGGAGAAAGTGACTGAGTTTAGAAATTTAAAAAGTTTATTATTACTTCACCGCCTTCCCTCTGCTTCAAACCCTTTGCTTATTTATGTCCCAGTGTGAGTGAGTCCCTCAGAGAGAACAGTCACATTTAAAGGCAAGAAAACATTACGGTCTTAAGGCTGGCAATTTAAATTCTGCACCAAATCTTTTATGGCGTCCCACTCCCAGCCTCACGTCATATCATTCCGGGGGCGATGTCTCTAAATTTATTTTTGATGAAAGATTTGTTGCCAAATTTCCTTTTTTTTTTATTTGTGTTATTTTTGCTATATTTTTGCAAACTTTTACCAAATGTATTGGTGTTTTTCTGGATATATTTGTTCATATTTGACCTGATTAACATTTACATTATTCTAAACCTAATTTACAGTTAACATTTATCTTTTTTATCTTCTATCTTCAGATCACTGTAAATAACTAAAGTACTCTACTGTGCCGACACTCACTAAAATCAACCTTTGTGTTGTTTAAATGTATTATTGTCGAGTTAATTTATTTTCACAACATAAAACTGCTCCTCGTGATCATTTTATTATATTTAACTACACACTGTGGCGCTCTCTGCCTGTTCTACCTGTGCTGTCAAGAACCTCTGCAGAGGAGCTTGGAGAATACGCCAGGGAGTAGAGGACGAGTGATTCATATATTAATTATGACACCAGAGTCCAAGAGCAACGGACCCGCTGTGGTCAGTGCATGAATAAATACATTTAAGCTCCAGATCTGTTCATTAATTAAACCTGGTGTTCCGTGAGAGCAGATTTGCTCGTCCAATTTTCCAGTTTAATGTTAACGACCGGATCTGCACATTACATCAGTGTTGAGCCATGATGATGACGGACTTCAGTTCTGGAAAGTGAGATTTTTAATGAATAGATGTGTTCATTAAAGCAGATGTAACGCGGTTCAGAAAGAAGAGTTCAAACCTGAGCAGATCGAAGAAATTGATATTCACATGTCCAGTGAAAAAAAAAGAACTGCAACGGCTAGCACCGGTGCCTTACCGCGAAAAACGGCAGCAGTTAGAATCCAGTTGTGATACCATTTTGTTTCTGTAGCTCCTTTGGTTTTGGCTACTACAAAAACGAGTAGATTTATAGATTAGATTAGATCAACTCTGCCACTTAGTGGAAGTATATTATTCGTCCTCCCTGTCACTGCCGCGGAGACAAAAGAAGCTAATTATTTACAGTAAATAAATCCTAGTTTTCAGATTAACAGAGACAAAGAGCAGCCAACTGCTAATACAGCACACACTGATTTCAGCTGAGCAAAAACCTGATTAAATCCTGACAGCATGTTCCGTGGGTAAAACCTGGCAACAAGAACAAGGTGTGGGCGGAATGAAGAGGAAAGATAACGTTAGAGTTGGTAAATGTTACTCTTTAATGCTGTCGGTAACAGATAAATGCACAGCAGGCGGCTGACCCCGGGGCACCACGAGCCTCTTCAGGGTCACAAAGGTTAAATATGTGGATTATTTGGATGGTTTTTTTTTCACTGGACATGATCATTAAAGAGTCAGCAGATGGTTACGTAAGTGTTACGACAGTGTGGATGATGTCACATGACCAAACAAAAGTTCTCAGAACTGCAGCAGCCACTTTCTGGATCTCCTGCCTGTGACGGCTGCTAATGCAGCGACATATCATGATAAAGCTAAGCAGCATAGGTTTCCAGTGTGTTGCATCATCACGCTTCTAAGCCGTCAAAACGTCAACGTCTCATTACCATCTATTATCATCTTCCTCTTCCAGTTGCTGCCCCCAGGGGTCGCTGCAGCCCTCATCTCCTCCACCGTTAAACCCACTGTCTCTGCAGCTCCTCTGGAGTCTGGCAGCTCCATCCACCTTAGCCCAGTATCTCTACGATTTCTACATGCCTCCAAACAACGTAACCTCAAGCTTCTTTAGCACTGCCCCCCTCCCCCCACCCCCCCCAAACTACTCAGCCCCCGGTTCACCCTCAAACTGCTCGTTTCTAATCCGCTCCATCCAGATCGGTGACAGTAGAACCCTCAGCCTCCCGTCTCTGGGACAGTGCTGTAGTCTCTGAACCAATCATCATAGCAGACCTCACCGCGTCTTATCACCTGCTTCAAAGATGGAGGGCCTTAGTTTGACCTCCAAAATGAACTGCAGTATTCAGTACCTGAAACAACTGTCATAGAGTACTTGACGTAGTACTTCTTCTGGTGAAAACTTCATTCAGTGTTTACAGATAAGAGTGTGTGTGTGTGTGTGTGTGTGTGTGTGTGTTGCTGCTCTAGCGATACTTGAGGAGATACTGCGTACCTTTGGGGACATGTGGAGGTCCCTGCTGAGGGACAGAGGTCCAAGGTTTAGTTTGGAGCAGGGATTAGAATTAGCAGCAGATTAGGATCTGAGGAGATGAACATGTGATGTGGTTGATTAGAGTATGGAACCAGGGGATTCATTATGTGTGTGTGGATGTAAACAAGGCAGTTCATCAAGAGGCCATGTCGCTCTTTACGTGTGTGTGTGTGTGTGTGTGTGTTTGTGTTCAGTTCTCGTCGTCATGTCCTTCATCCCCAGATGGTTGTTGTTTTAATCTCTGTTAAAAGAAAGACATGTTTTTCCCTCTTCTCTCCCTGGTTCCTTGTGTCTCTCTGTCCTTCTGACTGAGTCACTCACAGATCATCATCACCGACCCCCCCCCACCCGTCCTCGTCCCCCGTCCCCCGTCCCCCTCTAATCCTAGGAGCAGCACCCATTCAACCACCACCTGAGGAACTGATTCAGTGGCATTAACATTCTGTTGTAGTCATCACACACACACACACACACACACACACACACCCAGATGCCCAGTCACGCTCACACTTGTATATATTTCTATCAAGATGAAGAACAAGTATTGATCAGCGTCTGTGATGTGATCCTGATAACCTAAAGCCCTGTCCTCGGTCTGAAGGTCAGGGACTTGTTCTCATCAAGGAGAAAAGCACACGCACACACACACACTCACACACACACACACTCTCTGTCTCATGAATGTGTGTCAATTTATTTCACATCACATCATGACTCCAATCAGGGCTGTTGTGTTGGAGCCAAGAGGCAACACAATCTCCAATCAGAAGGAAAACTGGGGCGGGTGACGTCGGCTCTCCTCTCTCTACCTGCGGCTCTTCACGGTTTTATTCTGCACTTGTTTGTTTTCTTTCCTCACACTGAGCGCGCAGACAGACGACCAAAGGCACTAAGATACTGAGTCCAATCGCTCTTTGTGTTTTCATTGTGTCTCTGCGTATGAATGTAGGGGATCAATGTGCCACACACTGACCCAAAGGCCGTGACCTTTACACACAGAAGCCCTGTTGTATTATAAGTAGGACCTGTGGTATTTCTAAGGTCAATCAATGAACCGTCGCCCAATAAACCCGACTGGTTTTGAATAATGATCACTGTTCAAAACAACAGTGACAAACCAGCACTGTTGTCCCACAGCTTCTTCCTGTAAAAACAACTGAATTTTAACGACTGAACATCATGACAATTTTATGATGTTATGTTGATTCTGCTGCCACCAGATGTTCCAACCTGCAGTTCTGGCTCTTGTGGTAATAAAATATTGCAGATTTTCTTTACCAGTTCAGTAAGACAGCGGTTCCCAAACTTTTCTGCAACTAATGTCAACCCCCGTCGTCCCCGTCGTCCCCTCCGCGTCCACACGTTCAAGGCTTTTCCTTCAAAACTTTGGAAAAACATTGAACCTGATTTAAACCACTGTTATTCCCAGAAGAATAACAGGAAGGAAATACATTCACAAAAGTATTCCATCTGCCTTGCTTGCGCCCCCTGGTGACAATAGACAATTAATGATCTGTGGCTGAAACGCTGCATATTCTGTTCAGTGTCCACTTCAGTCAAATCATAATCATGTTCCACTGATGAAGTCTGCTGTTTAATCTGTGGTGTAAAACCACAGGTCGGCCATGTCTGAACTTTTCCCTCAGCGTTATTCCACTTGGACTCTGCAAACCTGACCTGAGCTTGATGGGTCCTGACAGGCTGGAGCAGGAATATTAAAAATAAATATAGGTTGGTGTCAGGATCACTCCTGAGTACACCTCCTCTCTATATATTTATTTAATACAGTACTAGCAGGTGTTAACAGACAGATAAACAAAGATGGTTGGAAAAGAAAAGACCAAAAAATAAACAACACAAACAAACCGGTCCAAATGAAGGCGTGGACCTTCGAAGAAGAGATTCTTCCTAATTTGTCACAGGGATTGTTGGTCCTTCAGTTTCTGGTGACAGGAATAACCAACCGCCTGTTCTTATTCCGTATTCTCGTTTGTTTTAAACGTGAATGTCACGCAGTACAAAGTTTTGTCGTTCTCTAGAAATGGTGTTTCCTCGTCAACCAATCACAGCAAAGCTTTTCCCACGTTATCCTGTTGATTTGTTCTAATTCTTTTTCACAGCGCTGTCTAACGGCGTGAGGTGCGAACGCTCCTCGTCTCCTGTTATTAGACCTCTCGTTCCATCCTGCTCTGGTATTTTTAAACATGCCACAGACTGCAGTCCCTTCTCAAAAGAACATCTCGCGTCTCATTGGTAACTAAACACACCGTTAACAATAGAAAAGTGTCAAGTATCTGATAACGGCAGAGGGAGAAGAATAACGGAGTCGTGATGAGCGTTTCTCCCGGTGAAGGCGATGGAACAGGTCTTTGTTGAACAGGATAATGGAATTTGGCAGCTGCAGATAGGACCCCGCTTTCATCTCCCCTGAAATGATGTTTGTTCTGTTTGTAAATGTGATCACATCCGTTATCTGATCCACTTATAATCTAGCCACACACACACACACACACACACACGTCCACATGCTGTAGATTGAGCTGGATACCTGCTGTGAGTCTGCAGCATATTATTATTAGTCTCTGAATTGGTTTGTACACACTGTGATGTTTAACACACACACACACACACACACACACACAGGTACAGAGAGAGAGAGAACAGGAAGTTATCTTGATATCAAAGAGCCTCAGGTTCATGTCGAACACTGACGACCAATTTAAACATGTTTGTACTGAACGGCGCTGCGTTCCGTTCTGACACAATTTGACGCCACAAATTGTTGTGGCGGGAGGAAAAGTCACCGCAACGGCCAACGTTGTTCACCCACTGATGGTGAAGAGAGAGAGAGAGAGAGAGAGGAACACATGACGGGTGATTATACGGCTGATTTTGCCACATTGTTCTTGCACCTGACTTTCATCAGCATTTATATCCAAAGTGTGTGTGTGTGTGTGAATGCTTTTGTTCCGGTTGCCTAACTGTCTAACCTTCCTTATGAAGTTTAAGACAACAAAGAAAAGATGTTCCTCTGTTCTGTATTTATGCTGTCACTTTGTTTTGATTTGTTTAGTTTCGTTTTTCTACCTGGAGAGATGGGCCGTTGGTTGTCTGTGTTGGGGTTTATCCATTTGCTGTCACTGGTGTTTTCCTCCAGGCGGCAGGTGCCTGATCACCAGCTCACGCCATGGAGAAGTCTGAATAAACAAGTCTCCCAATCATTGCCACTTATTGTTTCCTTAATTGCCGCGGCGTCGATGCTGCTGCTGTCGCTCCACGTCAGGCTTCATTCCTGTGGTCTGTGTTGTTTTAGATGAAATATAACGGGGTCTGGTTGGACCACGTTTGACACGAAAATATTTCCCAGCTTTGGTGGAAAAAGGCCAAGGAATCAAGGAGACGAGTCAAAGAAATGGAGCGAGCTTTGGGAATACAAAAAGATAAAAAAATCTTTCAAAAATAAATCCAAGCAGCGAGGAAATGACAAATACCACCTGACAATCTCTTGTTTCTGAATTCCATTTATTCTGATTCACAAGGTCACGGGTTTGTTCATTTATTCATCGACTGAAGTGTGATCCTTTTCAAGGTTGTGGGGGAGCTGAAGCCGAGCCCAGCAGTCATAGAGCGGGGGGGCTGGGGGGGGGGTGGTTCACATGTACTGTAGACACACTACATTTGGAGTGAACTATTGAAAGAAAAAACCAGACAGGAAGTCAATCCAAACTCCAGCAGTCCTAGATACAAACGTTTGGTTTTTTGTGCGGTCTCGGTCTGGAGTCCACAGTCGATCTGAAAGTTTAACGTGGTGCTAAAGAACAGAATGTTCCATATGTTCTGTCCTGTAATATTTATCCGTGCACTGTGTTTTCTGTGTTTCCAGGTATTTACCAGTTTAGAGTCCCGGAGCTAGCCAAGTCTGGAACCCCAGTCGGGCGAATCCAGGCCACTGACAGAGACGTGGGGAGGAACGCAGAGATGTATTTCACTATCATCAGCGGAGACGGCATGGACGTGTACGAGATTTTCACGGACAAAGACACTCAGGAGGGAGTGATCACTGTCAGCAAGGTAAGACCAGGCAGTACATCTGGACCAGTGTGTGTTAGACTGGAGCTGAGACAAAGTCTGTGGGACTTGATGGAGGTTCATAAACAACACGAATAAAAGGAACTGCTTAAAATACTGAGGAGCAAAGGACTATTTCCTAAAGTGAGGAAAAACATTTATTGATTCTGTGTATATTAAACTGCTGGTGGTGTACTGATACTGCAGTACACTCTGATCTTTACTACAAGTTACTGTGGTGCTAAAGAAGTTGCTTGAAAGAGTGACTTGTCCCTGAGAGTTCTGAGAGTTCCCACTGGGTCTAACACTGTGGAGTGAGTCAAGACTTCTATCTGGGATATTGATCACTGTAGACTTTGTTGAATGTTAATTATAAAAAAATAAAATAAAATACTAGTTCTGGAAGTAGCTCCAGTTAAATGACAGGCTGTCACAAAAAAAGATGTTTTCAATTGATTTGTTTCCCTTTGCAGTCATGGTTTTTGTCGTGTAAAAACATGTTTGGAAAAAAAAGTGTGGAATAAAACAGGTTAAACCAAAAAAATATATATAATTTTAACTTAATATTTAAGTAGCTGTAGTTTTGAACAGCACATAATAAAATGTGCACGTCTGCACCTGTTGTCAGGAGCCTGAGATCTGTGTCCAAACGAGCCTGGCCTTTAATTATGTTGGTATTGTAAAGCAGTGATTCAGCAGATCTGACGACGATGAGCTGGTTCAGAACCTGCTCACGCAGCCTATTTAATATGTACTGTTAAATATGCAGAGCCGGGGCATGCTTGACAGATGAAAGAAAACCAAATTAAACTTCTTCATCTCCAACTTCATAACCTCAGATACTGCCTTCTCAGAAAGCAATATAACTCTGCAGCGGCTGTGTGACGGAGCAGACACCGTCCTCACTGGGAGTGTGTTCACAATGACGGCCGATATTAAGAAATTCTTTAGTTCCTAAGAAAGGCAGCGGCCTTCACAAAGAACCGTCACGACACAGGTGGAGAACAACATCCAGGTGTGTGTGTGTGTGTCTCTGTGTGTATAGACAATTCTACCGCGCTCCTTCAAACCTGTGACAACGTGTCGTGGTTTGTCATCAGGCCTCGTCTGTCAGCAGCTCTTTGTCACCTGTAATCATTCCGTCCGTAGCCCTGTTCTTACGTTCTCCCTGTGATGTTCCACGCTTTAGTTGTCATATCACATAACGTATTAAAGGAGATCATTCCCCTGAAGGAGTTTCACCTGCAATCAGGCCTCTTGTTACCTCCACTTTGACGAGTTTCCATTGTAATGTACTTCAATAAGTACTCCATTCAAACCTGCAGAAAGAGTCCATTAGACACAAATGGAACCATTTAGCTGTATATAAGGCTGTGTGTGTGTGTGTGTATATAAGAAAACTCACCCCAGGTAGAGGTTTTTATTCGTGACACTCTCTCTGCCACCTCCAAGCTTTGCTTTAGAGTTTGAAATATTTGACTTATTTTGCCAGCAGGGCGGCGTGGCAGATAAGTGAGGGACTCCCAGAATCCTTTGGAAAACACACTGTTCCTACAGAGAATATGGAGGGCCTACATCAGTAGATAGTGTTTTGTTTTCCAACCTCAGGGTTCGAGCTCCATCCCTGGCTCAAACCCAAATCCACTGTTAGTCTGGATGCTGATGTGACCCTGGGCGAGATTCTACATCTCATAACCCTGAGGTCACCTTCATCTTTTGCCAGTTTTTGTTCCCCGGTAGAAATGCTAAACTGGTAGATGTTCTGTGAATTCCATATGAATGTGTAATGAGTGTTTCTGCAGTGAGTG